AACACTGTCTTTACAGACAAAATGCAGTGTTTACATTACAGCCTAGTGATAACTTCACTGGCCACTCAGATGGCTGTTAGAGATCCTTCCTGGGTCATGGCTGCCTAAAATGCATCCAAACATTCAGTGTCTCCTCCCTCTGCATGCAGACACTGAACTTTCCTCATAGAGATTTATTAATTAAATTAATCTATATAAGGAGATGCTGATTGGCCAGGGCTGTGTTTGAATCATGCTGGCTCTGCCCCTGATCTGCCTCCTTGTCAGTCTCAGCCAATCCTATGGGGAAGCACTGTGATTGGATCAGGCCACCACTTCTAATGATGTCAGCAGACTGATTGTTTTTATGAGTCTAACAGCATGCAGAGTTACAGCTTCAGGCTTGAATATAGTAGGATTTTGCTATATTTATGGAGGCATGAGGGGCCCAGGTGGGCTAGATGGTGGTGTTAACACTATAGGGTCATGAATTCATGTTTGTGTTCCTGACCCTATAGTGATCCTTTAAGGTAATGCTGTCTTTGGTCTTTCTAACACTGTGGCATGTTCCCTTTCTTCTATACTCACTACATACAGCTTTTCTCTGTCCCAGACCATATACCAGGAGCATCTGCCTGCTAGTGAGAAGGTAAGGAGACAAGTGGACCAGCGAGTGCTTGGGGACAGTCCTTAGAAAGCGTTGAGTGAGCGCATCATTAGATGCATGAATGTCAAGCTCAGGGTGCTGTCTGCATAGTATGCCCTTAGTTGGCCAGCTGCATGATTGGCAGGCAGCCTGACATGCATTCATGCCAGGCTGGCCTTCTAATTCTTTGAGCAGACATGTCCTCTTTTTGGGCATGTTCGCCCCTTTTGGCAGGTTACGTGATTTGTGTCAGTAGCACACCCTTTTACCATGCCCATTGACTTCCTCCTTGACTGTACACTGCTGTTAGGGGTTATGGATTTACTTGAAAGATGAAAACATACATTAGAGAGAGATTAGCCTAGGGTATGTGTTTTCTTATAGCTGCTGTTTTCTTTCTCTCCAGCCCCATCTCCATCAGATACATGATGCTTCTGAGTGTTTTACTGTTTTTGGTCGATATGATTCTGTAATTAGGCCCGACATAATTGTCAGCACCAGGCCCACTGGGCTCTTAATCTGGCCCTGTGTGTCCCACCCTGTGGGATGTCCCCTTGCATGGGGACTTGCATAAAAGCCAGTGTGTGGCCATTACAGACAGTTCCTGCTTAACCCTCAAAGTCAAGTGTCGTCTCATTATTGGGGGAGGATTTACTGTATGCTGTTAGAGACTGATTGCCAGGAGTGTAAGCCGCTCGGGGGCTTTTCCTGTTCGTCTGCTAGCAGCTATTCATGTGTCTCCAGTTCGGGAGTTTCGAGTATTCCCTTGGTTGCAGTTCGGGAGTTGGTGAATTCGTGGGTTTGCAGTTCAGGAGATTGGTGCTTGTAGTAGCTGTCGGTGCAGCTGGAAAAGGGGAATATCACCTAAACGGTTTTTAACCTCTTTTGGGCAAAAAGGTCAGTTACAATGATTTAGTACCATGTCCTCCTAGCTTACACGCTGGATACAAGTAACAAACAAGGGCAGTCAAATGATTAGATGCCTTATGGAGATATTTGTTCCCTAGTGATGAAAGTGGAGTCATACCTGTAAATAAAAGATCACAGAAATTCCCTTCCTTCTCTTAATTTCCCATTCTTCCTGGCAGGCTAAACAATGTTCTGCAAATAGATTAAAACAGTCAATCGGACTAGATGTTGAGGAAGATTGTCATTCTGCACATATTGACACAATCTCCTTTGGGAACCAAATGTAGGAAAGTGATACCAAGACCAGTTTTGGTGATCTGCAAGCTAAATGGCCTCACCCTTAGAAAATGCAACATCAATAAAAGAACTTATACAATGAAAGATGGAAGCGGATCTGAAGAAGATATTGTACAGAAATTATTTTCAGTAGTGAAGACCCTCGTACACGATACACCAGAATACCATGGACTTTCATTTAGAAATCTCTGCTTTTACCTGAACCCCTATGCAGCACTGCGGGAGCCCCAAATGAACGACACCACACACACATGAATGGTTTATAAAGAACTGCCCAAGATTTTAATGCGTAGCAACATAATAAAGTGTATTTATGTCTAGGGGCGTGATGTAACTTTGCACCGATCAAAAGTTACCACATTTTCAAACCACTACATTTTGGGGGCCATAAATCCAGCCCATCATTCTCTAACTGGCATTATTTTATCTCTGTTAGAAGCTCGTGATTTCATAGTTATTTGCAGCGTACCCAAAAATTTGCTTGCTGGGTAAAACAGAAAGTACAAACAATGTCCTTGAAATGTTAGTAAAGCATAAAATAGAGAAAGGGACTATTGCCTAAAAATGTTTTTTATATCGAAAGGTAAAACAAATCAAGTTGATCAGATATATTTGGCTACAATAGCCCTTTCTTCTGACTTGACTTTAAGACTCGAACCCTAAATCTGGAAAAAAATTAATTTGACTAACGTCAACATTAGACATTGGAGAACCTGATAGTGTTTCATGAAACTTCCACTGACATTTACAGTGACTTGTTTAGGACAGAACACATCTCTTTAAAAAAAAAAAAATAAACCCTAACCCTTCCTATTTGCAGGTGAGATTATTTTGAAAGGAATTATTGATTGGATGAAAAGAATATTTGAATCCTATAACAGTGAACACCGTTTTAGCATTGGACTATCTTTAATGTGAAGAGGAGATTATTGTCTGTTTACAAAAATCATGGAAAACGTCATTGTCTGTGCAGTAACTGTGTTGGATAAAGCAGTGGTTTCCAAACCAGTCCTTTTGGCCCATTAACAGTCCAGGTTTTATCAGTATCTCCATTGGAATAAAAAAGGGAAATACATAAATCCTGGATTGTTGGTGGCCATGAGGACTGGTTTGATAACCACCGTCTGTTTCCTGTGTGTTTCTTATGTATTCTCCTGTAGACCAACTGTCAGGTTTGTGTATTATTATCATCATATTTTAGGTATTTTAGCAGTTTGCTAAGGGGGTTACTTTTTCTTGTGGGGTTACCAACCCAAGCAAACATATGGTCATAAAATATGACCCACAAAACCCCTGGGTCTAGTCTCCATTCAGCTATCATTCAAGTTTGATTTCCAATTTGGATAGTCAGAGACCATCCAAAAATTACTTGGGGTCTTATTTATGAATATTTTTTAATTAGCTAGTCAGCTCCATCTCAACAGATTTCAAGTTTATTCTGCGGCACTTAGTTCACTAAGGATTGGCTCCAGTTTGTAGATCATCACATTAATTTAAGGAAAATTTCAAATTGCAAACTTGCTCCTTTTTTCTCATGAATTTTTAGAATAAATTTGCAACTTACATTCATTTGGAAATGAAGGCAAATATTTTTTGAAAAGAATACAATATTTTTCATAAAAGAATATGAAACTTAACATTTGAACACTATTCTTGAGGTGCAGTCACATCATTTACTGATTACTCATAAACCAACAGGTAACCAAGAAATGAAAGTGAAACTGAGTTAGATGTGTATAAAAGCAGCCAGGTAAATTACATTCTCTGGAGAACTGAGATAAGGTGAGTACCTGAAAAGAATGGGGGTAAGTTTGTTAAAGAGAGTATTAAGAAAACTTTGGATACAATGGTGGCCATTGAGCATTAGAACATCCAAACGAATAACATAGTACAAGTCATGATCACGTGACGCATTTAAATTGTCAATTAGAATGTAAGAAACACGGGAATAAATGGACACATCCTAGCCATAGGACAGGGACACAGAATGAGACGAGCAGTAACTAGTTATAGCACTGTTATGGGCCGTTGCAGATATGATAGGTCTCCCCCTTGTTACTTACACTGGAAACCTTTGTAGCTTCAACTGTTTTTTTTTTTTTGTTTTGTTTTTTATCAAACTGGCTTCATGCCTAGTTTCGTAAGTAAAATGTTTAGACTTTAGGCACCAATTATTATTTAGTTGACACAGAATTGGGAGAGCATGTTTTTGAAACTACATGTACACAAGAACGAGAGATTAACCTGTAATGATCAGGAGGGCATGTGATTTAACTTTACATATATTGCAAGCATATACATTTAGCTATATTTTCTCTACTTTAATTATTATGGATTTTTATTATTTTTTTTATATCGTCTATATTCATTTATATTCAATAACATGTTTTAAAGACAAAAAGTAATTGCTTTCAAATCCCTATGTTTATTATATTCTCCATTATTTATAAAATATAAATAGAGAAACCCGACTATCTATATAAATTTATTGCTAAAGATATCTGTACGGTCAGCCATATTATATTCTATGCTTTAAGACGTTATAGAAGTAATACTTAAAGTTATAGCACATGCTGGGCACTTGTACTCTTATATTATACGTTGGCGTAATAAACAAAGAAATCTAGGATGACAGTCTATCATAATGACCCCAACCCATTGAGGAGCATACATTAATACTTGCAGTGTTCTACTGACAAAATAATATATTATCAATACAGAGTCTATTGGGATAATCAATTATTTTAAAGTATGCTTTGTTTTTCTTATCTTCCATAAACAGTGAACATGTTATCTTAAATGCTACAATATAATCATAATAGAGGGGGGGGGGGAGGGGTGGCTCTTACACCCCTTTAACTCCCCAAGTACTCCCACCAGATTTTTCTGGGGGTCCCAAGTCTGTTACATAGAACTCACAACAGCCATTACCCAGGACAGCCATAACTTATCATCACACATTCAAATCATTACATTGATTAGAGAGATAGAGTTTTAATAGATATTAATTTGATTTATGAGTAAAAAAACATTCCTTTGTCATCGCTTTAGTCAACATAGCTTTCTGTTAGGAAGGGATAGTACAGGAGTTTTAAGTGCTTGTTGATTAGTATTTATAGAAGACAATTTAAAGGGTTAAATATGGTATTCTTGTATCTTTTATTTTCACAGATAAACTAAATCAAGAAATTAGGATTCCAAAATAAAAACCTGGTAAGTGACCACATATTGTTATTATTATTATTATCATTATTGCCATTTAAATAGCGCCAACAGATTCCATAGCGCTTTACAAAACTATCAGTGAAAGAAGTAAAACTAGCAAACAAAACAAAAAAAAAGAATGAACATAAAATAACAAGACTATTAGTGCACCAACTTATAAAAAGCTCAGTCACTTTACTGTGTGTACGATTTTATGAATAATATATTACCCCGCCAATATAAATATAAAATTAATAGAGCACTAAAATCTGCTCTCCACGGGTAGAATAAACAGTCTCAAGTAATGTACCTTGTTTTTTGATTATTCTTACACTCCAGCGTGTGTCATTTTTATGGCTCTTTTTTTGTCTGTTTTTTGTTCTCACGTGTCTGCCTCTGCTCTGTATGTGTTTGTGTACTCTGTTTGTGTCTCTCTAGTATGCATTAGATTGTACAATGTCAATTTATTTCTGTTTCCTCTCTGTAACTATTTTAAATATGTCTGCCCACTCTTGTTTTCTCTCAGTGGCTTGTCTTTCTCTCTGTCAATGTCTGTCCACAATCTGTTTATTTATTATGAAATTTGCACCCAGTTTATTCTTTCCTCTGAGTCTAACCAAATAAAGTGCAGATATAGGAATATCCTAAAAATACACCAGAGGGTGCTAGACACCAGTGTAATATACTTGGTTTCTGCTCCGCAAGTAATGTCAAGCCTCGATAGCAAACCAGTAACCAACCTCATGCTGATGAATTGCATTAACAACGAAACAGCTGTCATTGAGTGGCTGACTGGCTTTGCATTTCTTCCTGAGTTGTGTTAAAAAGCAGTAGTATACAGCAGACATAAACCTCAAGGAATCCATGTTTAAAATGGAATAATGAGGCAAAAAGGTGATTCTTTAATGTATAAATTTGCATATCCCCACCCAGAATTCCTTACAGTAGTATCATCACTGCACATTTGAGATTTCTGTGGGAAAAGCAATTCTTGTGGCTTGACAGATCTGTGTTTAACAATGTATTGAATATATATATATATAGAGAGAGAGAGAGTGTATATATACACAATACATTGTTATATACAGATCTACAAACCAGTTAATATAGTATACATAGTTACCAATCTTGCACCTTTATAAATAAGTATAAAAACTCATAAAGGAGATGAAGGAGAGAATAAAATCACAGGGTGGTACATTTATTACATATACAAAACATAAATCTTTTTTTATTTTTTTTTAAAACCTCACAAAGGCAGTGCACAAATCTGAAATAAATGTGCAAAGCCCCCTTTTGTTATTCTTATACTATAATAGTATTAATAATAATAATTTGTTATTCTTACTACTTTGCTATATACTTTCCTCTATGTGCCATATCCGCCTGTCCCCTTTTTCTCAGACATTCCTACCTGTCCTTTTTGAAGTGCATGAATTGCCTCCAGTCTTCTCTGATAGTGAACTGAAATCTGCTCTGCACAAGTAAAGCTAAAATAGGCTAGTTATGACTATAGCTGAACTGGAGATTTCAATTCAGATTTTAATTTGCTGCAATTTGTAGATTTAGTGAATAACCCTTACCGTCTTCCTGTTTGTTAACTAAAAAAAAAAACATAGTTTGGATTAGCTGTATCAGTCCAGTAGACAGAATGCCAAAATTCCAGAATATCGCAGTATGCAATGATACTTTGTTTCTGCCTGTTGGGACAAGAATATTAAAAAAAAACAAAAAAACATATATAAAGAAAAGGGAAAAAAGGAAACAGTGTCCCCCAATTCCCTTTTGTTGCAATACTTGTGCCTGATGCACACCTTCAACAACCCCGTTGTCGTAATATGTCGGACTCTTACACCTTAAAGTAACACTATAGTCACCTAAATTACTTTATCTAAATGAAGCAGTTTTAGTGTATAGATCATTCCCCTGCAATTTCACTGCTCAATTCACTGTCATTTAGGAGTTAAATCACTTTGTTTCTGTTTATGCAGCCCTAGCCACACCTCCCCTGGCTATGATTGACAGAGCCTGCATGAAAAAAAAACTGGTTTCACTTTCAAACAGATGTAATTTACCTTAAATAATTGTATCTCAATCTCTAAATTGAACTTTAATCACATACAGGAGGCTCTTGTAGGGTATAGCAAGCTATTAACATATCAGGGAATAAGAAAATCGTAATTAAACAGAACTTGCAATAAAGAAAGCCTAAATAGGGCTCTCTTTACAGGAAGTGTTTATGGAAGGCTGTGCAAGTCACATGCAGGGAGGTGTGACTAGGGTTCATAAACAAAGGGATTTAACTCATAAATGGCAGAGGATTGAGCAGTGAGGCTGCAGGGGCATGTTCTATACACCAAAACTGCTTCATTAAGCTAAAGTTCAGGTGATTATAGTGTCCCTTTAAATACACTTTAGCTTATTTAGCATTCGCACTATTTAATTTGTCTCCCGCATTGGAATAACACAATAGTGGGCTTAGTGGGCTTAACACAATATGGCCATATGTTGAAAATGAATCCCTATATTTGAGATAGGTGATTTTAAGTAGCCTTATAAAATGTAAACATTTATTTTAATGTGTGAGCTCAATTTGTATTATGAATGAATTTTGGTCACTATGGCATTATCATTGCTGCAGAAATGCATGTGTCCGGGTGTGACACTGATATTTGTCTTTTCGTTGACAGCGGTGTGTCATTCCTGCATTAACAGCATTGTCGGACTGTGTGTCAATCCTGCATTAATTCTGACACTAGACACTGCCTGACCATGTTCTCTTATGACCTTAATATCTTGCATTATGCTAAGGAGCTAGTTCCCATGGCATCATTTGGGCGTCAACAACCTGCATGTTTTGGCACAGTATGAATGATGTCAGCCTATAGGCTTTCATCTATCCCTTTTAATTGTTTTCCATGTTCTCTATTATGTCCTGACACGGTTTTTAAGCCCAAGACTTTGAATTGAAACATAGAAACATAGAAACATAGAATGTGACGGCAGATAAGAACCATTCGGCCCATCTAGTCTGCCCAATTTTCTAAATACTTTCATTAGTCCCTGGCCTTATCTTATAGTTGGGATAGCCTTATGCCTATCCCACGCATGCTTAAACTCCCTTACTGTGTTAACCTCTACCACTTCAGCTGGAAGGCTATTCCATGCATCCACTACCCTCTCAGTAAAGTAATACTTCCTGATATTATTTTTAAATTGCTTGTTATTATTGTTTCTGATATTTGATATTAGGCCTGTGTCGACCCCATACCATCCATACTCCTAACTGTGGCTGTGTGTCTAATCTTGTAATTTCTCTGGTATTCTTGACCTCAACTTATTCCTGACTTTTCTTACCTGTATTTAGGAGTGTCTCGTCTACCCTTAGGTGTTTGCATTAAGCCCAGTCACCTGTAAAGCCACCTCTAAAGACCTGTAACATGCTCCATCTTTCCTACCATTTTACAATGTATCCTGATACCATCTCTTCCAATTCCCCCTTCTCCATACCACATTATTACCAATACAACAAATGCAAACTGAAGAAAATGTATGTGTTACTTGCTGTGGAGGTTGAAATATTTGCGTTTTGTCAATTGCTTGGTGATGTGATTTATTTGCTGAAATCTCCATGTTCTAGGTTCTAAGAAAAAAAAAGTAATTATCTCGTAATCCCCCTGAGAAAAGTATTTCCTGATATTGTGCACCGTCTGCACTGATAACTGTAAGGTATGTATTGATGCTAAAAGCTCTCTCATGGAAACATCCCCCCAAATTATATTTTAAATTCATTATAGTGATAAATACTACTAAAATGTAACAGCCTACATCAATGAATACGTTAGTATTACTCTACGTAAATTGCATCGCGGTCCTATCAGAAATCACTTACTCTTTTATTTGAAAAGAAATCACTTATTCAACATTATCTCTTGTTCTTCCAATTGCAACGTAAAAGTAAACCAGATTAGTTGCCCACTTCAAAGTAACGGGCTAATAATGTATGGGTTAGTAAGCTCCCATGGTAAATAAGAAACTCAACCGATGCCTGTTATGCAGTGTATACTGCCATCATAAGATTCATGTATCAAGTCCCACATATCAACTCCCCACCAGCCCTAGATTTTATCACAGTCCTGCACACCGGTGCCACAAGGTCTGTCGTGGACTGCGCTCTCTGTCGGACTGCTTTTTTGCAGGAGGAGTGCGATCTTTCTGAGTTTGTGGGTATAGTGATACATCTACGCAGACACAGCTAGATCAAACAAAGTGCCTGCAGAATATAGCAGATTGCTGAATTGGAGGGACTGTGATATCCCCCACCAGTCCAAAGGAGATGGGGGAATGAGGCTGGGCCAGTCATATCGTCAGAGAGCGGGGAATCGTCTGCCTTCCCTACCTCACTTGATGAAGCAGGCCTCAAGCTTTGTCAGCAGCAATCACCTTCAGCTTCTGCTGAAAGTCAGTATCGGGACCAAGAAGACCAGGGTCATCAAAGGCTGAGGGTCTCTGCAGAAGAAGAGTAGCCGTGATTTTAAGTACATTTACAGGGTTTTGCCGAGAAGCCTCCACGACATGCATCCTGCTCAATCGACAGCCAAGTCCCGCACCCCTTTTGAAATATTTTAAATGAAATAATTGTTGGTAATTAACAAAAGAAACCCACATTTAATTTTTAAATTTCATTTTTATTTTGTCTTATTTTATTATTCAATAAATGTTATTCTTTAATAAAACAAAATATCACTGGGTGAATGGGAAGTCATAATTCTCTGCCATGAAAATGTTCATATATTTATTGCATGTTTTCCCTTTTCTATATTAAATTCTATATCAAATTCTATAAATTATAAAGTGTAATATTTTTTCATATTTGCTCTTAACAATGTGGAAAATTTTTGAATTCTTTGGCAAGCAAATTTTTAAAGAACTGAGCTTACTGTCGTTTTTCTGGGACTTCATGTAGACGGTGCAAAGCTTGGTTTTAACCTATTTTTCTTGTTTCTGAAACTAAAAAAATATATGGTATAAGGTATTTATACCAGTGCATGGTATAATATGTATGTAATAATTTTCTTTTTCAGGAACAGAAGGGATTTTTGGGGTGTGGGATAAGGGAGGGTGTAATGGATCACCTGGCACCCCGACCGAGTACCTCCGTTGAAGGATGCTCCTAGCGCTTCCTGAGGGCTCCAGGCACTCCACCAGAGACCATAACCACCGCAGATCCCCCGAACCCGTCTAATATGCACCCTGGACCTATGACACGGCTCCAGGTTACAGTGGGTGAACTTCTGTTTCCCCAGAGAGTGAAGCAGTAACAAACTCTTAAAAGAGCTTAGTGATTATCCAAGGGAGTATGGAGAGCATAGCAATCCCTTGTAACTGTTTCCCCCAATAAGAGACAGGACTCTAAATTGAGTGTGAAGTAGAACTGGTTAATTAGCAGTTCTTTCTTATATACACATTTCCCCACAAGGTTACCACCCACGTGGACCTTGGGGAACACAGGACACAAAGTTACAACAGCCATTCAACACAGTACAGTACAGTCAGACACTCCCAGCTAATGCACACAAACCCTCCCCTCTGCCTGTGATACAATTACCAAAGACAATGGGCTAACTTAATTATCACAGGCAGAAAATATACAGTTTTACCCAAAGTCCAGAAACACCCCAAAACACAAACATATCCTCATTAATCATACATACCTGGATAGCCCTGATGGGTGAACAACATATACAAAAATCACCCAGATCAGAGCAGAGGTTCAAAAGTTTTATGGAAGTCATACCAACCGCAAGCATGGCTTTCATGCCCAAACAGCTCCACAGATTTAGGCTGTGCAGCCGGTCTATCTTCTCCTTTATACTGGAGATAATTGGCTTAAGTGGCTGTGGTAAGCCAATTATCTCTAAGTCCAAAAACTGTTACAAAAACTACATAAAAATACATAACTCATATAAAATAATGTTTAACTTATATGTCCAACATATCCCCAGATAGCTTGGATCTGAGTGCTCAATATGTCCGAAGAGCACTCAGATCCCACGAATACAGTTGCGTCGCCATGGGGTTAAACAATAGGAAGGGCTGATGAGAGATTGAGGAGGGACAAAGCAGCCCGTTTCAACTGGTCTGGCAGTGTCCCTGGGACAACGCCCTGCTGGAGAACAATAGGACAGGAAAAAGGGGGAGGGGAATAGGCACATTTTCCCATGGAATTAAAAGGGCAGAAAAAGTGTTTTAAAAATCCAATAAGCCCAAATAGACCTTTTAAATGGCAATACACCCCAGGGCCATAGTCGCAGGGCAGGAGGCTGGCAAGTAGTCCCCTCCAAAAACTAATGGAAAACTCCCTAAAGAAGGGGAGTTTGTCACAGAGGGAAATATTTTTACAGAGTTTCCCTGAATTATATATAGTTTAAAAGAACACTCTATACACCTAATGCTTGCTAATGTGCTTTACATGTGAAGAGTGTGCCCTCTTTATTCCATTTTACAAAAAGTGCAAATTTCAACAGAAATTGACACTTTTATAATCTAACCTTGTTACCGGTCCAGTTACTCCTTGATTGTTTAGCTCAGTGAAGTTAAACTCAAGAGGCAGCAAATGCCCAGAGCACCTGCACTGCATACACTTCTCATCGAGCTGCATTGGGAAGTCTGTGATTGGACAGTCACAAAAAGTCTGGGCAGGGTTAGTAGGGGAGGGCTTGCAAAGGCTGCAGAAGAAATATTGTCTTTGAAAATTCCCCCCAATGGAAAAAGCCAAAATTAAGAGCATAAAAGTTTTAATTCGGGGTACATATACTAAATATTCTTTCTTTTGTATTTGGGCTGTGGATTGTCCAGTATATTAAAAAAAAAAATTATGACCCCCAAAATTTGTGAAACATTTTTGAGACGTAACAGTTTATTTTGCTATGTAATTCTCTTTTTCAAATCTTGAACTGATAAACTTCAACTAATATGAAATATGATCTGTTTGGACTTGGGTATGATGATAATTAGAAATGTATGCACATTTAATATGTTTTTATCTTCTCTATTGAGATGATTGAATAATAGTGATATGCTGTTTTGTTACAGGATGGCGTATTATGGGGATTCTGATGAAGATGAGATTTGGGAAGAAGAGACCTTGCCAGACTTTCACGAACAAGTCCTCCTCAGTAATAAGAAGCCAAAGGATGGAAGGCTCTATACTATGTTTCACGGCACAACCTTGGAAGCAGCTCAAAAAATCATTGCACATGGATTTCAGCAATCTACTGATGGTTTGTTAGGGAAAGGGGTCTACGTGAGCAGAGACCAAAAAAAAGCTGAACGGTATCCTCTGGGTGATCAACGTTACCAGGTTATTTTAAAGCTCAGAGTGAATGTCGGTAAAGTTAAGAAGATAGACCATCAGGGTCATCCTCTGCGAAAGATGTGGTATAAGGAATATGATACAGCTTGGGTGCCTAAATGGTGTGGCATAGTTGCAAGTGGGCTAGAGGAAGACTGTGTAAGAAATCCCAATAGGATTAAGGTAATAGGTGTTGTAAAAGCTCCAGGAAAGTCCAAACCTCATCTGGAGAGAATGATTGACAATAAGAATAAAAAGCGATGAGAACATACAAATTAAAAAACAAAGATCAATGTTTTGTTGGGGTATTTTTCTTTAATGTAAATTGCATAATTTACAACCGGTTAATTTTTGGCTTTTCTTTTTACAAATTAAGATATGAATTGTTTGATTTTATAAATGGGTATAAATGATAAATTATGTAGTAACTGCTATATTATTAAATTTTATTTTGACACAATGGTAATTTGCACAATCCATTTATTGAAATTAGATTTATACTGCATATCTTTTTCAATGCTTGATCTAAGTGAAGTCCATTGCACAACATGAGAATTGAATGAATGTGAGAGAATGAAGATGCCAAAAAATGCTGCATCTCAGAACTAACACATCTTCCCCTATGTTTGTAAACATCTAAGTGTATGATTGTTTGTGTCTGAGTGAAAAATATGATCAACTGGCACAGCTTTATTAATGCACTCCAAAAGGGTTTAACAGAATTAGCAGTACTCCGTTCTTACAACTCGGTCTTAAAACAAATTTGTTCCTAAGTGAGGATGCGCTTGCGAGCATGAACTAAAGAGCAGTTGTACTTTCAGGGGAATTCCCTGAACATAGACCAGCTCACTAGCGCAGGGAATCGTGCAAATCTATGTTTGGGGAAACAGTATTTTTTGAGAGATTTAATGTGTTATGTGACTTGTCTAATAGACGGAGATAAGATATGAAATGAGCACTGCAGATTAAGACTTAAATCAGACTATTAAACTACTACCACAGCAACAAAAAAAGAGACCCTATGGTAGCCCAAGAATTAAAATTACCCCTATGATGGCATACCATTTGCAATAGTAGACAACTCAAGGTATTGCAAACGGGGTATGTCCAGTCTTTTTTAGTAGCCACTTAGTCCCAAACACTGGCCAAAATTGGCATTTTTTGCATTTTTCACACACAAACAAATACTAACGCTAACTTTGGCCAGTGTTTGTGACCAAATGGCTACTAAAAAAGACTGGACATACCCCATTTGCAATACCTTGGGTTGTCTACTATTGCAAATGGTATGCCATTATGGGTGTAAATTTCATTCCTGGGCTACTATAAAGTCCCAAAGGCAACGTAACCAATCTGGCGAATTTCAATTTCAAATGTAACGTGCTATATTTGACCCTGTAACTTCCCAAAACGCTATAAAACCTGTACATAGGGGGTACTGTTTTACACGTGAGTCATCGCTGAATACAAATATGTGTATTTTATTGCAGTAAAAGCAAACAGTATTATGACATTGACAGTTAAAATGTCATGTAGAACTAAAAAATAAAAATAAAAATCTTATTTTCTCCCATTTTTTTTCATATTAAATTATGTTTCATAGCTAAATATTTGATATTAAATGAAAGCCCTGTTTCCCCTGAATAAAATGATATATAATAAGGGGGGGTGCATTTAATATGAAAGAGGTGAATTACGGTTGGACAGACATGTAGCGCAAATGCCAGGTTTTGTTTACATTTTGTTTCGTTCACAACGTGTACATTTGGCTCCGTCCTTAAGGGGTTAATATACAGTGAATGCAAGACTTGGGTTGATGGTCAACTAGTGTATTTTGGAAATTTTTCCAGTTGACTATCTTGCTCTGCCAAACCTGGAGACTTTATTATTTTGTCATTGCAAGGTAGAGATTTAACACTGAAGTCCGGACAACCTGAATAATGGCAGCTAAAGCTTCTATCAACATCAGGAAGCGGAATGGCAAGTTTAGTGAAGGAGAGAATGAAATTCTTGTCCATCAAATCATGGCCAACTGGAAAAAAATATATACACGTAACGCATGTAGCTTACATGAGAAATAGATTATTTGGGAAAAATAACATGAAAAGTAAATAAAGAAGGTGCCTATAAGCGTCCTGCTACTGCCTGCAAAAAGGAATGGACTAATTTTACAAAGAGCATTGAAAAAACTTAGTTTAACAATTACCTCTGAATCGCCTTCAGTCGGACGTATTTCAGCTTGTTAACAATAAAAACAATGGAAACAAAATAACTTGGGAAATATTGTTTTTAAAATAGGTAAGTCCAATATATAACATATATAGCAGTTTATCTTTCTCTCTCACTATAAATCCTCCTGGGAACCGAGGAAAAAAATGTCTTCCAATATGACAGCCATTTTTGATGAAAAGGAAGAGGCAGATCCCAGCCTGTCACATGACATATCACCGGAAAACCCAGGATGTCCTCTTTACAATACAGCAGGGATTGATAGAGTAGCTCAAAAGAATAAAAGGAGATGCATGTGAATGAAATGTCTAGTACAGAGGACACAAGTCAATGGGCTGGGTCTCAGGAGGATATATAGGCATTAATATACATTAAGAGACAGTCCTTCATAGGGCATTTTATATCAAAGTGGATTTTGCATATGGGCATAGCGCTCCTTATTGGGTTTTATTCACTAATATATACGTCTTATCTCTAAATAGAGATAAAGATCGCTTGCTAGGAAGAGACAGCGGTAGGTTGAATCTCAATTTTCCCCAAAAAAGGGTACACCTAAAAATTAAAGGAACACTCCAGGCACAGCTTCATCAAAATTAAGTTGTTACAGTACCACAAACAGTTTAACCCCAAATTCTTCTCTGTAACTTTGCTTAGTACTGCAGACAAAGGCACTCCTGAATGTCTGAGAGTATAAGCTGACACTCTAAGCAAATCAGCATCTCCCTAATCACATTACGATCTGAGAAACATACATATTTTTCTCAAGCAATATTTATGAATGAGCAGCCACTATTTGTGATTGGTTTAACTAAAATTCAAATTCTTTATTATTTCTGAAATCAACAAATGTAGTAGATACACCCCAATGAATACATGAATGCATTTTCATGCATGTGCTCATTTGCAGTATATCTTAAAACAGTTTGCAAAAGCTGCAGTTCTTACGAACTTTTAGTCTCTTCACGGGGAAATAGCCAATCAGAGGCTGCTTCTCATTGCGTGCGTACGACCAGACTACTGATCTGAAGTCTGGATGCTGGTCTGAGGTATGCAGGAGGGGAGACAGGCGTACTCAAGCAGAGCACGCCTGCCACTTCTGTTATCTCAGGGGAGATTATGAAAGCAGGAAGAAACCCCCCTGGCTGTTTGATTGAGTGTTTAATTAAAGGACTACTGTAGGCACCCAGACCACTTCAGCTCAATGAAGTGGTCTGGGTCCAGGTCCCTCTAGTTTTAACCCTGCAGCTGAAAACATGAGTTTCACTGAGGGTTAATACAGCCTCTAGTGGCTGTCTCACTGACAGCCGCTAGAGGCGCTTCTGTGATTCTCACTGTGAAAATCACAGTGAGAAGATGGTGGATGTCCATAGGAAAGCATTGAGTAATGCTTTCCTATGGGCGATTTGAATGCGTGCGCATGCGCATTCGGAGCTGACGTCGGCAGGGGGTGGAGAGTTCCCCAGCACAGAGGGAGCCTGACGCTGGAGAAAGGTAAGTGACAGAAGGGGTTTTAACCCCTTCAGCCCAGCGGGAGGGGGGCCCTGAGGGTGGGGAGGACCTAATGACCCTATAGTGCCAGAAAACGAGTTTGTTTTCCTAGGACTATAGTGGTCCTTTAATTATTTGTACATAGATATTGGCATTATTATAAACTGACATTATTATGGGGGCAAGCTAAATATTTTTGGAAAAACTTTTAAAAGGATGTCATATTAATATTATATTAATTTTGTACAGCTTTGATACACTGGTATTTTTTTCATATTTGATTTATTTTTTGATATTTTAACATTTTGAAAATAATTATTTTAAAAGTGTGTCCAAAAATATGAAATAATTAGGAAAGCATATCCAAGAATATTACATTAAGGCCTTTTAATGAGTCCTTTTTTTGGCTGAACTATCGGACTCCCATTGAAAGCCACATATCAAATTTTAAAAACTGCGATCTTCAAAGTCATCGACGTGCAGACTTTGTAGACTAGGTAGAAGCTTAGTATTTTAGTATTTTTTTATTTTGTGTTAATGATAATTCCATATATAATTATCCACTCATTTATGTATTTTTTTTTTTTAATGGCAATCTATCTAATATAATTAGGAAGCATATGCGTGAGGACTCTGATACAAAAAGATCCACTGGAAGTATACCTACTGTATCCACTTAACAGTGTGTGTGTGTGAGGGGTGTAGTGGGTGTTTGTGTGTGAGGGGTTTATAGGGTCTATGTTGTGTGTAGGTGGGTGAAACATGAAAATCTATCTTAATGTCTCCCCCTCCCTTCTTCTTAACTTTACCAAGTAGGGGAGACATAATGCTGCAAACCCTGGTGGTCCAGTGATGGCACATTTACTAGGGACCGCAGCTCCTCTGGCTGTAGGTGAACGCTCCTGTCCTCCCGCAAGCACACCACTGTATCGGAGCATTGCCATGGTAATGCATGGCAATGCTCTGACCCACCTACTTGCCAGAGGAACACAGATCCTCCAAGACCCTTCACTCCTACTGGGACAATTAAAATGAAAACAATAAATCCACGTATCCAGTTTCTGTTTTTAGTATATAAGATAAGTAACTATATATAATAAGTGTTTTTATTTTAGTTTTGAATAAATCTGTCACTTAGAAAGATTGAACATTATGATTTTTTTAACATTTACAGGGGGTAGGGAGGACAGGGGAGAGAACAAGGACCTTCCACTTCCAGAGATTACTTTATTTGTCCTTCAGTAAATATGGCTAGCCAGGGCCCTCTTCAGAATTTATTGGGCCACTTGAAACCCACCAGCTGCTTGTCTTGTGAAATGCACACAATCACATGCAAACAGATATATTCGTACAGAAACACACATTCTCACAAACAAACATAGGTATGCATTCCCAGACACACAAACTTACATTAAAAAAAAAACTTACACAAACATTACACAAACTTACAGAAACACACTGCAAGGCACACAAACACACACATAGATGCACTCAGTCAGACACAAACAGACTTGAGCCACATGCATACAGCCACACACACACACTGCCAGACACATACATAGACACCCACACACTTAGAAAATGTAAGTGGAGCACCCCTTCGTATACCATAGTACCACTAAATGGTTCATGTTAATCTAAGAGGTCTACTCTGAGTTTTCACATAAAAAGGAGAAAAACCAAACACAATATAGTGCAACACAGCAAATATAGACCAGCTTTAAGTCAGCAGCATGCCTGCACTGAGGTCTTTGTTGCTTCCCCTTTAAGAGCTTTTATAGTCAGTATGATGTCCGATGGTCATGTCCATTCTTGTAATTTTCTCATAAATATATAATGTAATAAAATGTAACATAGGGTTAATTTTGTATCCAGTAGCTATAATCATGTTTCTATGTGCTTGGACCAACTATTATCTTGAGAAACAAAACTAACCAACTATTATCTTGAGAAACGAAACTAACAGGTAGCTTTCTATTTCACTGGAAACCGAAAGTCCACTAAGTTTTGTTTGTCAGGAAATAATTAGCATGCTGTTTTGCATGTACAAAGATTCTTATCTGCATAGCATAATAGACTTGTGTTACTGAAAAATAAAGAGAAGAGAAGTGATTCTGACATACGACGTGTGTGTGTGTGTCTTTTTTCCTCAAGCATTTGGTGTGCCTCTGATATGCAACTGTTTTACTCTCATTACAGGATTTAAAACAGACAATATAAAATGGGAAAAACACAGAAACCTCCCTCTAGTGCAGGTTATCTCAAGGCGGCTGATTCGATATGTAGTAAAGAGGTAACA